ATGATTCTATTTTTTTCCTTTCTGTCTCCCTTTTCAAATCACAAAAATCTCTTCTTGGCAAGCTGGTCAGTCTGGAGATTTCATCATGCTGCTAAAAAGAAAACATGGAACCCACAGAGCACTGCAACTGAGTGAGAAATTGTTTAAACTCCCTGAGAATCAGAATCTAATTAACTGTTTGAAAGAATGTTTGCTAGGTGGTGAACTCCTCTCCACCCTAAATGGTTTGCACAGCTCTCTCACTGGGCGTTGTAATGATTTAATGAAATGGGATTATATCTAATTGGTACTCTAAAGCTCTCATTTCCCATGTCATAAGGGGAATATGCTTTTTCCCATGATACATATGCCACAGCTTTATTATAATTTGGAGCTTTGTGATGGTTATTCTGAGAGACTTTAGTTTAGTCTTGTCTCACACTCCTCTAGGACCTGATCTGAAGCTCACTTAGGAGTCTTTAGAAAAAGGCAAGGAAATCAGTGGAAGTCTTTTAGCCTTGTCAGTGTAGATTAAGCATGTGTTTAAGACTGGTCCTAAATAAGGATGGACAAGCGTAACTGTTCCTGAACAGAGCCCTGAATGCAGACCTTGTCATAGTTGTTCAGGTTTCTGTCAGCTCCAGACTAGATTACAATGTTACTGACTGGTGCAAAATGCAACTACCTGTTGGCAGCTTCCATTGACTTTAATGGTGCTGAGTCAGACTGACTGTGGCCATGCCTATACCAGAAGTTCTTTACTGATGTAAGAATACTCACATGCTATACCAGCAAAGCACTCCTAGCATGGACTCAGCTTATACCAGCAAAACTGTGCTTGGTACCAGTAGGGTAAAACTGCCAGACACCGCCTACCCCAGCAAACCCGACCATATGGGTATGAACATGGTTTTGCCAGTTTAACTGCTTCTGTTGGCACAGCTGCATTATTCAGGGATTGCACATCATGACACCCCAACTATCATTACTGTATCACTGAGGTAGACAGCTTTAGTGGCGATTTTTGCAAGGAGCCTATTATGTCTGTGCTCCATGTTTTCCAATTTGGAGTTGAAGCCATGTCAGTGTTGGATTTTGGGTATTGTATTAACTGCCTCTTTCTCAATGGTTTACCCAGACAAATAAGAACAGCTGAGGTGCTTAAACTAATCATTCCTACATGTGTACAACTGAGTGTTTTTGATGGAGGCTTTGACTCTGGTGGCTGCTTGCTTCCATGGTCTGATAGGGCTCAGACTGCCTATTTATTATCTTGATGTGGTATATTTATATCTCTTGCTGGGCTACAGGTGCCCATTTTGGTAGTTATGACTGTGTGCACCATATCATACTGTATACCTCACACATGGAGTACTGCAGCTGAGTCAGGACATTACATTCCATGTGAAGCAGTGTTTAATTGTACAATCATAAAAAATTAGGGTTGGAAATGGACATCAAGAGGACAGCTAGTCTAACCCCCTGCTGAAAGCATGACCATCTCCAAATTATATCATCCCAGACAAGGCTTTGTCTACCCAGGTCTTACAAACCTCCAAGGCTGAAGATTCCACCACCTTTTTGGGTAGCCTGTTCCAGTGCTTTACTACCTTCCTCATGAGAAAGTTTTTCCTAATATCTACTCTAAACTTCCCTTGCTGCAACTTGAGACCATTGCTCCTTGTTCTGTCATCTGCCACCACTGAGAACAGTCTAGCTCCATCCTCTTTGAAACCACCCTTCAGGGAGTTGAAGGCTGCTATTAAATCCCCTCTTTGGCCTTATTCAAATTGATAGGTGTTTTGACACTGACTTCAGTGAAGTCAGGATTTCCCCCTGGTGTCTTTCCTCTGCTCTACCAGTCTGTTCAGAGAGTTCAAGTATGGTATATTTCAGCATCATGCTTCCCCAACAACCAAGCAAACCACATAAACCAGATGACATGCTGAATTTTTAATACTTTGAATGACATAGAAGAACTTTACCTACTTAATCCTGTTGTTTAACATGCCTGAGGCTTAGGGTGACAGGAGCTGCAAGAGAGGTGCCATAAAATATGTCCAGAAAACTTTTGCTTTACCACATCAAAATAACCTGTTAAAGAATAAATCCATGCTGAGGAAGTAAATGTAAGCTGAAAACTGCAATCACTGGAGGAAACATCATATACTGGGTCAGATGTGTAGCTGGGGGAAGTTGGCATCACTTCACCAAGGTGGATAGAACATGACAGGTTTATGCCAGCTGAAGTGGAGTTTCATTGTCTTTTTGTCTGGATATATCTAGCAAACTTTAAAGGCTTCTGCAACAATCAGAACAAGAATATATATAAATAGAAAACTGCTTTGCCAGTGTAACTTCTCACTTTGTTATTTTTGTCCCTTTGGTCCAAACACCTACCCAGTGTTCAGGATTTTTCAGATTTGCTTCCAGAAGGAAGAAAAATGGATGGTACAAGTCTGGTATTCTTTAGGGCAGTCCTGCTTGAAGGCACACACAGCCCTCCTTGATCACAATTCTGTCCCTCTCATCATAGAATCATAGAAAACGAGGGTTGGAAGGGAACTCAGGAGGACATCTAGTCCAACCCCCTGCTCAAAACAGGACCATCTCCAAAAATCATCCCAGCCAAGGCTTTGTTTAGCTGGGTCTTAAAAACCTCCAAGGATGGAGATTCCACCACCTGTCTGGGTAACCTGTTCCAGCATTTTACTAGTCCCCTAGTGAAAAAGTTCTCCCTAATATCTAACCTAAACTTCCCTTGCTGCAGCTTGAGACCATTGCTCCTTGTTCTGTCATCTGCCACCACTGAGAACAGTATAGCTACATCCTTTTTGGAACCACCCTTTAGGGAGTTGCAGACGGCTATTAAGTCCTCTCTGGGACTTCATAGGCTATTAATAGGCTATTAATAGGCTACTTGGCTATTAAGTCCTCTGTGGGTCAGTGTCTTTACACGAGACACTGACTGTGCAGTAGCCACATAGTACTGCATAGTAGTGTTACATGGCAAAAACCGTGCTGAGATGCTACTGCGCAGTAGTATTAGGCTACTGCGCGGTAGCATCACTTAAAAGACTTTTGCCAGCACTACTGTGCAGTAACTCCAGTTACTCTGTATTTATTTAGTATTTGCTTATACAAGTATGAAATAAATGTGCAGTAACCACTGCACAGTAATGTCTTGTGTAGACATGCTGTCTCAGTCTTCTCTTCTCCAGACTAAATAAGCCCAGTTCCCTCAGCCTTCCCTCACAAGTCATGTGTCCCGGCCTCTGAACTATTTTATTGCCCTCTACTGGACTCTCTCCAATTTGTTCACATCCCTGCTGTAGCGGGAGGCCCAAAACTGGACACTACTCCAGATGTGGCTTCACCAGTGCTGAATAGAGGGGAATAATTACTTCCCTCAATCTGCTGGCAACTTTCCTACTAATGCAGCCCAGTATTCTGTCAACCTTGTTGACGATAGGGGTTGTGACACTTCGCAACCCTTAGTGCTCCAATGAAATGTTTGCGAGGTGGCTAATTGCCCTGGGAGAGTTACAGTGTGCAGGGTGTGACCACGTGTCAGTGTCAGTGAAATCTAACCGTGCCTCCCTGCTGCTCTTTATCCTCTGGCCCAGGTGCTGGGCAACTGATATATTCACTCCTGTGGTGCAAAGGCTACATCTGGTGGAAGGGCTCCCCATCCTCCCCTACTTCCCCCAGGGACTGTAAACATCAATGGCCAGTTTGTCAGTTTTTATCCTGATACTACAATAAAATCGCAGAAAATGGGAAGAGGTTGGAAGGGACCTCAGGAGGTCATCTAGTCCAACCTGCTGCCCAAAGCAGGACCATCCCCAACTAGATCATCCCAGCCAAACTATGGAGCACACCCCCTCCTTGTCTGGGTCACTGATGCCAGTGCTGCCCACTCCCCTGGTCTGTGCCTAAATCCCCAGCTCCTGGAGCCTGGTGACCGTGCAATGATCTTGGTTTTCAGTGAGGGAAAATGGAGGGTCCCCTCTCCCCCAACAGTTGCTCAGTCCTGAGGGCTCCAGACAAAAGGCATAGCAGTGTTTAAGCCAGGTCTTAAATATGAAATTGTATTGGAAACTCCAAATGATCAAATTTGCTGGAAAAAAAATTGTACACTGTAAAAAAATATGGAAATAAGTATACAAATAAGTCATCTTATTTACTTTATATTGCTCACGGTAACTGCCAGTGAGTGAGAAGTGGGTCATGACTCATCAAAGTGGAAGCATTTCTTTATTTTGTGGCAAGCTGCCCTAAGGAAGTGCTGTCAGCAAACCCAACAATCAGTTAAGGCTCCCGGAGAGTGACTGGGGTTTTGCATCTGCTGCATCAATGAGCTGCCTCAAACCTGACAGTTTGTTTTCAAGGATGTGGTAGCTGTGTTGGTCTGAGACAAAAAGAAATGCGAAAGTCCAGAACTCTTGGTTCCAAAATGATACCTTTAATTAGACCGAGAAACTGCAAATTATATATATATATTTGGGGGGGGGGGGGGGGCGCTTAGAAAAAGATATTTTTTGCGATTTCTCAGTTGGTTTAATAAAAGGTATCTGTTCATTTTCAACACGTTCACTATGACTGACGGTAGCCGCACAAGGGTCGAAGTGGTACAAGTACGATAGTTACGGTAAGACGGGACGAAACCCTGCCGGGACCGCAAGGGCCTGGGCCCCTCAAGGCGAAGCCCCGCCCCCGTCACTCCCTCTGTCACTAGGCAACGCTCTGACGCCCTCTTTGGCCAGCGGCCGCTCGCCCCGCGGGCGGACCCAGCACGCGCCGCAACCCAACGCGCTCCCCTCCCCGCTCAGGCTCCTATGGCCGGAAGTGACGTTAGTGCAGTGGATGGGATGGTCCCGCCTGCGCTCATTTCCGCTTCCGGGTGGAGCTTGTGGCGGCGCTTGGGAGGTGGTAGAGGAGTGGAGTTTTCAGCACAGCCTCGG